CCTCTTCCAGCAGCAACCTTAGTTTTTCCCGGGGGGTCTCTTAACCAGGTACTGACCAGGCTCACACCTGCTTAGCTTCAGTGGGTTGCCAGTTGTGAGTTGCAGAGTGATATGGCTGCTAAATTCATAAATAAACATGTATTAATATGCATTTTACCAGGTAAATTGTGGTAAGACAAAAACCTCTTGGTATTCAATTATCCTATCATTTACAGGGACCATTATCTGCATGCTATTGGTTCTACTGTCAGTATATTCATAAAATTATTTTTCAACCCAGTGACATTTTACGAACTCACATCAGTATCTACTCAGAAGTTAATTAATTTATCTAGAATACTCACCTAGGAGTTACTCTTTTCTCTCTGTCATCCCATTCCTTTTAAACGATCTGTGCTATACTGAATTGTTAGTTTCTAGCATTCTAGCAGGGAAAAATAAAAAAAATAACTTGACAGCTTTCACTTCTGAAATGTGTATATATTTTATTTTTCTGAGTAAATGTTTGGAAGTAATTGTTACAAAGATAGTGGTTAATTAAAAAGATATAGTTTGTATAAAATGAAAAGAATTGTAGTAATCAATGTTAGGAAAAATGTTCGTTTACAATTTGAATTCTAAATATGAGTCAGGTTTCTGGTTAAAAATAGAAAAAATATTTTAATAGTGCCTAGAGCTAACTATACAACATCTTAAGAAGTTGATTAGTTAGCTCTAGGCACTATGAAAATATAAAATTAAATGTAAAAACAACGGTATCTTGAATATTTTCAATTTGTACTATTTTTAATTTAATTGATCTTATTTTACAGTTACCAATGCTGAAACCTTGGTGGTTTCCCTCTGCACATTCATACATCTACTGTAATTAGAACGGACCTTTTACAGGATGTAGTTCATGAGGATAAGCTCTGACTGTCTGATCTGTGGAATCTTTGGTTGACATTAAGAAAATAAACCAAAAATATAATTCTTCTATGTTTACACATTTGTGTGTCTCAGTCTGAGGTCAGCTGGCAGTCCTAATCAATAAACAAAAGAGTCATGTGTTGCTGATCCTTCACATTTTTATGTTAGCTCTGAGAGGACACTGCAAGAGACCCAGTCAAAATGGTTTCTCTGCTTGGGGGCCGCTGGCTGCTCGGGAAACAACAGGGATTGCTGGAGACCCCACTGACAGGATGTGGGTGTGCTGAGAAGCATCTGAGGGCTGGTGTATCAGGTATATTCCAAAGCTGGCCTGTGAAAAGAGGTTGTGTTAAATGCAAATCAATAAATATATAAAATTCACTTAAAAATTAAGATGGCTATTGTTGAAGTTTGGTTTATCATGTATTGTATAACACATTTACACAGATTCAATTATTCAGTATTGGAAATCATTAAGAAATGCATTTTTCTCATTAACTTGAAAAAACAGGAAGAATAAATCACACAAGTATAATATTCAAACTGAAATCAAACTATTATACTAATACTATTTTCTTTTTCATAAAGTACCTTAAACTATCTTTTAAGAATTGAAATGTCCAAGCAAGTTTATCTCCATTGTTATCCTTCACAAAGAATGAAGATTTGCATTATTTTTCTGGCTTTAGCTATTTGTCTTAAAGACCACTATTTTGTCTGTGCAAGAGTAAAACAATAACCCTTTTCAGCAAGTCTCTTCAGAAATGCACATGCTTTTAAAATGTCTTATTCCCACAAATTATATTTATAGCAATTTATAAAAATAACCTCAGCTTCGCCATTGTTTGTTATATGTTGTGTGAAACAGCAGAAGCCAAAAAATAGAGACTTTATTTCCAAGGCCAAGGATCCAAAAAAACACAGCCTTTTTCAAGTTTCTTATTTCTTTTTGATGTACTATTTAGGATTCAGAGCTTCAAGCAGACTCATTCTTATTCAGCTGCAGCCTTTACAAAGCAGTTTTGGTGCAAATAGTTCCAGGACAAACCACATTCTCCCTGTAGATGTGTGGTGCAATAAAATATAACTGTTGTGCTTCTTACACTTTTTCATAACATCTACATGGAGAACAATACATATCATTATATGACATGGATCTTAAGAATTGTTATATTAATTGGTGCCCCTTTTAGAAAGGAACTTCCTCTCTACAACTGGAACCGGGTGTCAGAACTGACTGTAATTATATTTAACTAAACCTTTAATGATTACGTAACTAGCTCTTTTGTTAATAACACCCCCAATGCACACTTAAAATAGCAATGTGAATTGAATAGAGGACAAATATTTCTCTAGTAAGGCTCAGAAAATCTAAGTAATTACCAGTGTCTTTTGAAAAACTTGCAAAGTTGTTCTGGAGTACATCAAACCTTAAATGTTTATACAATTGGAAAATTTTAAAAACAGGAAGTGTATTGAGGTATTCAAGGTGTTTTGATAAACATGTTCAGATAACAGACCGATAGAAATAAACGTATTTGATTTTTGGATATCTTTTTCTTACACAACAGCAATAGCCTCCACAGGTCTTTGGAGCAGTAGTCTCCAATCCTAGTTCAGGAAATCTTATGTATCTACAGTATATCTGTCCATCTGGGCTCTCAATGACTTGAATCAAGTCATTATTGATTTCGTTTAACAGCATCTCCCAGGTGCTGGTGCATTAAAGAGATCTGAAAAGACTGCACACTGGCTCTGCATGACCAAGACTGGACATTTCAGCTATGCCATCTCTCTAATGTTTTCTTCACTTCTTGGACACAAAGATTTTTTTGACTGCCTTGGGTTTAATGCCTCAGGATTAAAACAAAAGTCTGACAAAACCTGGACAGAAGCCAATTACAACATCAAACTCAAGAGGGCAGCACAACACAGATTAAAAAAATAACTGGGTAATTCTATACAATATTTTCCCCCCAGTGCCACATTAGTAGAAATCTGAACATCCCTGTTCAAAATAGGTATGCCTGAACTGTCGATGGTACAGTAGCTTGTCATGTATTACTGAAAACATAAGACTCAGTTTGAAAAAACAGAATTTACATTGTGACAAAGGACATTTGAAACAAAGGCCTTGGAATATACAAGCATTTCTATACATCTACAGTATATTAAAATGATGTGTTTAATTCCCATTCCAATTTATGCTTATTTTACATTAAATAATATTTATTTTTTTATGGTACTTAAACAGAGAGCATCTCAAAGTGCTGGAAAGTTTAAGACATGATACATTTAAATTGCCCTCCTGGAATGAATAAAGTATTTTGAATTTAACTGAACTTGCAAATGAGACGGCAACATTTGGCATCTCTAGTTCATGTTGCCACTAGTTGCTAAGTGATGTAAAGATCTCATCTAGTCATTTCTTGAAAGAAGCAATGATATCAGTTTCAATGTCAGGTTCCAGACACCACTGTATTTGCAAAGAAGTGCCTTCTGTTCTGTTTTAAATGCACTTACCCTTAGTTTCCACTTGTGTCCTTTGGTTCATGTTTCACTGTTAATTCTAAAGAAGTCATAGTTTTGACTTTCTCAATGCCTCCAAAGATTTTGAATACAATAATATATGAGTTTTCTCTGCGTGAGGCTGAAGTTTAATTTATTGTACTATGTTAGAGTACAAAACTCTATTAATCCCTGGTACATAACCTAGTTTATTTTGTTTCCTGAGGATTTTTTTTTAAATATTTTTTGCATTGTGGTGACAACAATTGTATAGAATTTTCTAAACAAGCTCTTACTAGTGCATTGCACGATTCTAAAGTAATATCTTTTGATTTAAATTCTACCTTTTGAACTGCATGTACTTACTGTATATTTTTTTTTGCTCATATTAATTGTCTAAAGCATTAAAATAATGCCAAAGCATAAAATATTAGAATCAGACACATAAATAAAAGCAAGCCAAAGCATAACAAATCAGCACAAAAACAATACACATTTTAGCTGAAGATAAAAGCAGGCATTACACGTAACACAACAGGAGACAATATCAGGACATAAAAAGAGTATCGGTAGTTTTGTATTTCTTGATTGCTTGAGAAGATTATTTGAGAGTGGAAAATGTTAACAAACGTTCGTAAAACACTGATTATGTGTGGGAACTTGGCATATACTAATATAATAGCACAGTGATATAGTTTAAACTTATATGATTAAAAAAGTTTTGTTTTAAAAAATAAGTATTAAAAATCACAGTGTGTCACAGTGATGAAGTGGTGAGCGCTGCTACCTCACAGCACAGGGCCCCAGGTTCAATTCCTGGGGTGCTATTTGTATGGTGTTTGTCTGTTTCCCCCATGTTTGTGGATTTCCTCCATGTGTCCTGTCTTCCTACCAGAGTCCAAAACCATACTGGCAGATTAATTGGCTTTTGTGAAAAATGGCCCTGGTCTGTGTATGCTGGCCTGGTGTCCCATCCAGGGTGATGTACTGACATTCCATCCAGGGTGTGTCCTGCCTTGTGCCAGTTGCTTGCTAGGATAGGTTCTGGCTCCATTGAGATCCTGAATTGGATAAATATGTTATGGTGGTGGTTTATGTTAGAAAATGGATGGATTAATTATAAATCAAGCCTGCTCGTAAGAGTAACACAATGCAGAAAAGTCAGATTCTGTGAAATTTGTGTGGCTAATTCAGAACCAGCTAAAACATAAGCAACAGAGTATTGAATATATTTCACCTTCCGTATTGCAGCCTTGGAAGCACTAGCAAACAAAGTTTTACAGCAGTTTGCTCTAAAGGTATGCACCAACTTCTCTCAATTAAACTTTGAAGCTTTGAGATATAGTACATCTATGAAAAAGCTACTTTGGAATCAGATATAAGACTCTAAAGTTAAAAAACCACACCTAGATTTCTGATCTGATCTGTGGCTCACTTGATGAGGAACGCCAAGCAACATTTCCTCAGTTTTATCACAAATAGAGTGTCCCAAGTGGTTCAATCAACCAAGCAAGGATGAGGTGTGAGCTGTGTCATGTCACTAACCAACGGTGACCAGGATTTCCAGAATGGATACATAAGAACATTGTCACAATTTTAAGTCCCTCCTCTTAAGGGTGCCCTGGCTCTTTCTTGTTTCTCTTGATTTTTTGCACCTGCCTCCTGTTCTAGCCCTTCCCTTTAAAAGCCAGACACTCCCACCAATCTGGGCTCAGTTTTGGAAGATGGACGCCCGGAAGCCCAACTACTAGCAGGTCCAGCAGTGGCCCGACGGCATAGGCTTCACAATGGTGTCCTGACCATCTGGGTCTGGGGCTTGGATTGCCTGGCCGTGTTACCCCTTTTTATTTCCCCGTCCCTGCACCTGATCCCGCTCCGGTTTTTAACTTTTGTCGTATCTGTCGAGGATGGATTACCCGGCTCTGGACTTTTGCTTTCACTCTGGATTTCCCTTCGGAATCCTTTTGGACTTTCGCCTGGACCAGCCCCCCCCGAACACCAGTGCACTGTCGACATGCCCCCCTGAACTTGAACTTGAACTTTATTGCCATATGTAACCGGTACTGGTACAATGGAATTCTTACTTACAGAAAGTCTCTCGATTGTAAAACAAGTGTAAAAAACAAAACAAAGTGCAAACAGTGCATCAAGACAATGTACAAACAAACAACAGACAATGTGCAAGTAAACATGTAGACAGTTTGAATGTAAACAATACAGACGTGTAAACAATGACTGGAGATGTGCAATAGATAAGAAATCATAAAGAGGTAGATGGTGATGGTGTAGGTGTGGTCCAAGGGGGATGGCTAAATGTGTTCGCCAGTCTCACTGCTTGTGGATAAAAGCTATTGAAGAATCTAGTGGTAAGCTATTGAAGAATCCTGTTCGTCTACCAGCCCCGTTCCCAGTCTTCTCTCCCCTGTGTCTGATTCACTCCCTTCCGGATTCTACCGTCTGCATAGGATCCTGATTTAAGCTTCGTGACAAACATTAGACCTTAAGAAAGATTGTTGTTGCCCATCTATCCTGTTTGGATGTTCACTGTCCATTCCTCCAAGGATCTCACCCAGTTGTTTCTACAAAGTAGCCAAGATATCAGATATCAGATATCAGATTTAGGGAAGACAGGATTAGTTGGGCAAAGCTTCCTTGGCTCTCAGCCACTATGGCCCTTCCTCTGATCAGAGCTGAACCTCTGGTAACCTCTTGTGTAACCTGTTACAGGAGTTGTGTAAGAAGGTGGCTATGAGGGATCTGCCTACACTTCCTCTTTCTCCCTTGCATGTGGCTCTAGATTTGTAACTGTGAACTGAGATGCGA